CCACCAGTGTTAATATTACTTTCGCCATTTTACATTCCACGTAGGAAACAAATATATGACTGTTTTACCTTCTCCATCCAATCCTTCATCAAAAATGAAACTAGATTTGAAATCAGAAGATACAGAGCCCTCCTTGCGCTTCTTCTTCACAGTGATGGCCTGAAAGTCTCAAGAACATAATAATTATCAAAAATCCTGAATGCAAATCCTGAAGTAAGAATTATAAAAAATGTTAACAAGTCTTAGAAAGACAATCTATAACTACAGAAGATTTAAACAGGTTACGAACAAGTTACGAATATTCGTATATTGTTTAAGTATCAAAGTTTGTCTCGGTAAAAGGCGTTAAGACATATTTCACAAAAAATTTATACAAATCGCAGAATGACTATCCTCAATGAATTTTCATTTTTCCCTAACAGTCAGACATCTCTTTAAATTACTGCTTAAAAAACACTGCCTGTACCTCCTTTATAAGACGATTCATTGTAAATAAGCTAAGAAAAAAAACCCTTCTTTCACCCTGAGTGGGAAACAACGAAATAAGTAATAGCTCCGTAATATTTTTTTAACAGACAGAAACTTGGATAAAAAAATTTTTGAGGCGTCAGTTTCTTTTTAAAACATCAGCGACCTTTCAATGCTAAAAGTCGATGTGACTATGTCCTGAACTTTTGAAAAACATGCATCCACTGTTTTCTATGAAACTCACGCATATAACCTGCAAGTGGTAAATAGAGAACACCACTCAGTCCACCCCCAACGGTTTATTTCTTCAGCGACATAAGGCTAAGGAACATAATTACATCATAATTCTGAACATCTTCAACCCTTCATTTCTGCCACCTCTCTAAGCACCGTGAATCGTTTCCGTATATCCTACTGAGACATTATTTTTTGAAAAGCAAAGGAAAAAGAACAAGTAGCACTATCCACCTCATCAGCTTCAGCAATAGAAGAGTCATCAGATAATTCAACGTCATCAGGAATCGTAGGTGGATAAAGAACTCCCTGCATCAACGACACCTTTAAAGGTTGAACTCCTGAAAACGAAATAAATTCATGGCCAAAAGGACACTCTGACCCAACATCAATCACAACCACACCAATTCATCTCGTTTAAGACTTTCAACCTCAAGTCTACACCCACTACGTGCAGAAAAAAACTCATTCACTAGTTCATGCCCAGCATTACTACGCATAAGAAACTAGATCTTTCCAATACCAGGATTTAGTAGAAAACAAAGATGGGCAAATAAGTCAAAAGCCTAGTTTCCAGAAATTATACTCAAAAACCAAATTTTTTTATTCGTAAATGCTGAGAAACGTACACCGAACATTTAGAATTACTCCTGATAATTTCCAAAAAGAACCTGAATTTGGAAGAAAAACAATTTGCATGGGGACTGCTACTTAAAGACAATTTCAAACCAGCAAAAATGAGCCAGAAATTGTACAGAAGTGACATAACAGCAAACGCACCATTCGTGAAGACTAAAGAATTAAATTACTTTATGTACAGTGATCCAAAACAAAAAATAAATCTTTTAATTAATGATGATGATTGTCAAATACAATATGTTAACTAAAATGTAGTGAAATAGTGTTACTGTAAATTCTAATATCGCAGACTGGTTAGATAAAAAAGACAGAGATTCAATTCTCTAATTCGCAAGCAGTGGTACAAAACAGTTCAAAAGAAAACAAAACAACGAGAGTCAGAACCCTCTAAATAAACTTATTTGGCAGCATGTGATGCAGAAAGACACAAAAGACTGGAACTCGTTTCTATCAGTTACATAATAAGCAACACCGACCCAAAGAAAATCGTTAAAAAACGTTATCAAACTCTATTACAAATTTGTTCAACAGTCAGACAGTGGGATAAAACGTTATCACATTTCAAAAACACCATTATCATTGTCTCTTTAACAAAGCTTAGTTGACCGGGCAAATCAGCCTGTTTTAAAATAACTAATCTCCTGAATATAAGAATTTAAAACAATAAAAAAGTATAAAGTATAAAATTGAAAAACCTATTATTTTCAAAATTCATCATCACTACTCAGGATAATGACATCATCGTCAAGCAACTTTCGATTCACCTTCACAGGTGGATTATCATCGACGTTCGTATGTGACCTTTTACAACTGCTAACGGAGCAAGATACAATACCTAAAATATAAGTTTTTATGCTTATTACCAAATGTTAATTACCAAATGGCAGCGTTGTTACAAGATGTAGCATTCCTATTCCATTCTTCCTCCTGCATTTGTATGCCAGAATATGCGGAACACTCCCTTTAATACCATTCATTAATTTTTGCTATAACAAACTAGGTCAGTGTCGGGTCGTCTTCATCTTCTGTTGCGATAAGAAACTCAGACAACGATCATAAAAAACGACTGTCTCCATTTGGGCTAATCACACTCAATTATTTTCGCTCAATACCAATTTAGTCCTGCTATTCGTCCATGAAAAAAAGACTAGACGAGTCAAGTAAAAACTAGCACAACCGAAAAATGCTTCAACTCTACAAATACAACCATCGAACCTGGAAACTGTAGTAAAAATTTTGAATGTAACTTTACCGAATTCAGCGCGGAACAATGTTACTTCATCATGATAATTAGCTGATTAGCTACAAACCAAATCGACGCTTCTGTTGAACTTGACTCCACTAAATAACTCAGAGCCAGAAACTAAAAAATTATCTGCAACTGTCAGAAGAGTTCTCAATTATATTCATTTAGTATCTAAATCGCACCGAATTTATTACGTCAAGTCATGAATCCTATTAGTTCCTTCTCTATAAAAGTATGGTCAAAGATCTGTACATCACACAACTGCTCAACAAACTTGTTACGAACATACTGATCTAAAGCCTTGTTCCAGATTCACACAACATTCCTCTTATTTCTAAGATTTGAACTTCATGATATCTTCTGCTAAAATGAGGTAAACAGAAGTTTAAAAATTACTGACAAAACTTCGTAAAATGCTATAAGCTCAAGTGGCACAAAATTCTGCTGGTTGCTTATTCGACAGACGCAGTGACTTTTATTCAGGAATCTAATTCCAGCATAGTAATTTGAAGTTCGTTTTGGCTCATCTACATCTATATCTTGCACTTCCCTGAAAACTTCCGCACCACAAACATCCCTATTCACCTACACAACTATATGTAAAAAATTAAACGTTTCAGATTTGGACGTGAATGAAAGCAAATTGTGAATCGCTGATTAGCAACGATGAAGCGGTGCATAAGATCCAGCTAAATTTCGCATATCACGAAGACTTGAAACAGTGGCGAGATGATCCATTCCCAGCTTTACAACCATTAATTAACTGTACTCTCTCACTTGTTCAGACACAATAACCCTAGATTACCACTCTCCATTTCCTCAAGACCGCATCCCTTCGCCCACGTCTTTCAAGTTTGAGTCTCTCAGCCCGATCACACTGAACTAGTTTGGAAAGCATTAACACTTAGCGCACCAAGGTCAAGAATAAGTTAAAGCAACTTTTTTCTTTCTGTCCAATTTTTTGTCAAAAAAACTCATAAACCACCCTATGGCATATACGAAGGCAGCCCCAAAAAATCATTTACAGATGACTAAGTGGAGAAAGCCACACAAATAAAGAGCTGGAAAGAGGAAACTGCCCGAAAATTATTCACAGGAACTCTAATGAACTAACAAGTAAAGAAAAGGTAATTATGGTTCTAAAATTTGTCCAAAACACCGGCAAGAACAGAAAAGGCCCAAGTAAATTATAAAACTGAGTTAACATTTAGGAGCAACGAAAATTGATAAACTATACCATTTGACCTAGCAGACCCATCTATACTCTGAATATGAATCTCTGGCATTAAACTTTGAGAAGCCATAGTCGCACCACTTAAATTCAGAGAATTATGAGTCCCCACTGCATTCACTGGAGTATCGGATTCAAAGCAGATGGAAGAAAAAGAACTAGATGCGGTTCTTCCTTGTGGCCCTCGGCCAACAGAAACCTCCTAAATAAACAAATAAATAAATAAATATAGACAGATAAAAACAAAAAAACATACGTAAATATATATATATATATATATATATATATATAT